AAACAGAAAATGATAATAACTTTTTTCTTTTTTGGTTCAAAAAACATGACTACACACGTATAATAATCACAAATCAATTGTTCAAATTGGCGAAAAGAAAAACAGCAAAAAAATTTTATGATTAGAATTTGTTTGAATAAATTCTTTGAACAACAACAACAACAACAAGGATTTTTTTCGAAATTGAAAATTATCGATCTGAACTACCACTACGACCACCACCATCATTATTATCATGGGGGAAATCATATTTTTGTTGTTCATGTCTGACCAGGGAAACGACCATGATCACAATGTATGGTTACCAAAGAGAGAGAGAGCAAGGGAAAAAAAACCAAATTTTTATCGATAACAAATGACAATCACATAGAAAATATTATGATGATGATATATAAAAAACGCCACCATATCAGAATTATGGGAAAATAAAAAGCCATCAAGGATATCAACGAATAATAAAATAGAAAAGAACGTGATTCTTATGCTTAATGTTGTTTGCCTGTTTGTCTATTGGTATCCGTCTGTTTGTATGTTGTGGGTGTCTTGAAATGATTAAAATAAAAGCCAATATTAGTCATTTTCATTCATTTCAATCATTCACAAATAGACCATTATAATGATTTTCAGATCAATACAAGATTATCATCATCATCAATGTTCGATGATGATGATGATGATGATCACTAACTAAATTGATCAAATGATGATGATGATTAGTTATTAAATATCTATTTTTGGAAAAAATATTTATTGATTATTTCCGGTTTTAAATAATCACGTAACCATGTTTGCCAAAAAGAAAAACATTTGTTTGTGTGGAAATAGTTGCCCGGGAAAAAAAAGGTATCGTATTTCATTTTCAGTATACAAACAGTGTAGAACCAAAAAAGAGACATCCAACAAACGAAAACAGTGAATATTTTGCTTTGTTTTTGTTTTTGTTTTGTTTTAATTAAGTCTTTGTCTAATTTTCCGTTTGAATTCTTTTTTTATAATAATAATAATAATTACATAGAGATTCTGTAGAAAAAAAGAAAGAAAATGATGGAATGAAGAAGAATTTTTCTTTCGCTATCTTCTATCTTTTACTTTCAAGTTTCAAACAATTTTTTTCTGTTTTGGTTCTCATTTGGATGTTAATTCTTCATTGTTGGAATGTTTTTTGTTTTGCCATTTAGTTTTTTCAGTGTTTTTGGTCCAATTGATAAGGTGATGGAAAAGGAAAAAGGAATCCAAAGCGAAACAAAAACCCAGACCTGAAATTAGCCAGGAAAAAAAGTTAATCAATTTCATTCATTCATTCATTTTTTTGGGTGGATTTTACAACCAAATGAAACTTTGAAACAAAAAAGTCTTTCTGTTGGAATGTTTGTCTCATCAAACACTCAATCAAAAACTTCAAAACTACAAAAAAAACTTCGTAAAAAGTATTTTTTTTGTATTTCTATTTGCACCCAGCTATACCGGCTGCATTTATGTTGAAATTACCCTTTCTTTCTTTTTTGGCAATCATTTTTGAAAAATATTCATTATCATCATCATTTAAAAATCGGAAAAAATCAAAATTTACATAATTGATTAATTAAACTAAAGAAAATCATCAAGACGACGACGATGATTATATTGAATTTCTTGTGAAAAAATTTCTTTTGATTTTTCTAGAATCGTTATCAAAGGAAAAAATATCGTTTCAAGGCAAAATTTGAAAAAAATTGATAAAATGCCAACATAGAAAATGAAAACAAAACAAAAATTCAATTTTGATCGAATAAAAAAAAAATTTCACATAACATCCCTCTCTTCATCCACCCACGAACACCATTTTCAAATTTTTCTTTTTTTTTGGTTTCATTCAATAATGGTTTTTCCACCACCACCAACACCACCATCACCAATAACATTTATTTATTCATTCGTTCGTTTCTACTGGCGAAGAGAAAAATAACGGAATTGATTTTGATTTATTGATTTTTTTCAATGTTCATTTTTTATTTTTTGGCTCATTTTTTTTTCATTTTTCGATTCAAAACAAAACAAAACGAACGATATTTGTTTTTTTTTGTATTTTGAAAATTTTCAACAAAAAATAAAAATTCATTTCTTTTTCCCAAAATAACGACGATGTTTTATGATGGCCGATCATCATCATCATCATCATCAAGCATTGATGGTGCCGTTTGTCTCTCTCACTCTCTAGGTTTGATCAATGGAAAAAAACCATGGTTATAATGATCATTTTTTTTCACATCGTTCTCTCATTTTTTTTCTCATATTCATCCATTTGGAACACACATGAAAAAACAACAACAACAACTATTAACTATTTAGGGGGTGAAAACCGTTTTTCTTCCCCCATTTACCAACCAACCAACAAACCACCCAGTCATAAATGAATTCTTTGAACCACGAAACAAAACGATGAATGAATTGAATGAATGAAAAAAAATTGATGAAAAATATTCGAAATAATAATAAAAAAAACGATATAAAAGAAAGATAGATTACGTCATTTATTGATAAACACAAAAGGATGTTTAAATTTCAATTTTCATCCCTTTCTTTTTTATCAATAATTTTTTTTTTCATTGAATGAACGAAACAACAACAACAAAAAACTAAAAGATGAAGGAATGATAAACAATTTTCTCTAGAAGAAATTTCTTCTCTCTTCAAAAATTTGACTATTTTGACTGTATACCCGAAAAAAATTCTTCAAGTAAGAATTTTTTATTATTTAAAGATTCAACGAAAACACCCACACACAAATGAAATATCATCATCATTGAAGAATTGAGAATGCTCAATTTACATAACATCTTGAATACATTGAATAATGATTATTATTATTATTATTAGGCTATAGTTTTTGAGAATTATCTATTTTCACACCATATGTTCATTATTCTCATATTCTGGTTGCAGTTTTGGTGGTTAAAAATGGAACCTAAGAAAAAAGAATGAAAAAAATCTCATTGAATTCTCATCACTATTTTAACCATAAGAAGAAGCAAGAATCGTTGGAAATTTAAATATAAATTTCACACCCCCTATGCAAAAGAAGTGGAAAATTTATTTAAATTATTTAGTACCAAACTCTTCACACACACACACACTCGATCAATATCATCATTTGAATTTTATTCAAATGAATTTGAATTTCATTCGAAAAAAATGTTTAATAAAATGAAATTCAATGAATTTTGTTTGAAACAGAAATTTTACAAAAAAATCTTTCAACAGGAAATTTTCCAAAAGATTCGTTTTCTTTTTGAAATTTTTCAAAAAAAGTTTTCTCCTTTGTTTTGTTTCTGATTCGTAAACAAAAAAATTCCCAAATGAAAATTAGAAACAGATAATTTTAAATGATGGCGTTCGATAATGATGAACGAAATCCGATATTTTGATTGGCAAAAACAAAAAAACAAAATATCGATTATATCGATGATGATGCAACAGAAACAGAAAAAAGATCTGATCCACATCGTTCACACCAGAAAAAAAAGTAGTATAAAAACCTCTTATATTCAAAGCAATATTGTAATCAATATGATCATGATCATCATCATTATTATTTTATAGTGAAAATGTTCGCTTTGGGAATATTATTTTTGTCTGATCACTTTTATTTTTGTTGTTGCTATATTTGATGATGATGATATCCATTCATTCATTCATTCATTCATTCATTCATTCGAATTCATTTCACATCATTTACATTATCAACAAGACTGATTTTCATTTTGTATTTCTCTGAAAAAGTCTGTGTGTGGAAAAATAACTTGAATCTTTTGTTTTTGTTTTTAGTTTTAGTTTGTTTGTTCATTTTTCTTTCATTGAACATTCAAAGAATCACAGAATCATTCATTCATTCTATACATCAATATTGTGATGATAATGATGATGTAAAAGACAGAACAAACAAGCAAACATTTTCATTCCAGAAATATAAATGAATAAATGATTTGAGTAAATAAAATCAATATTGTGAAATAATAAATAGATAAATAGATAAATCAAGTGCAAAGAAATTTAACTTTTTTTTGTTTTGTTAAATTTTTCCTTGAATTTTTCATTTTTCAAATGATAAAGATTTCCATTATCATCATCATCAAAAGGAAATGAACGAAAATATCGATAGTATCGATTTGCAAAAAAAAGAGAGAGTCAATCAGGAGATGTTACTTGAGGAAAACAAAAGTCAAATGTTGTGAACAACAACATCCAAAAAAGAGAATGTTGATGATTTCCATTAAATAAAATGAACTGAATTTTTTTTTTCATTTTGCAAAAAAAAGTAATTTCATTTTTCTCTTCATTCGATTCGGATTTTGTAAACCAAAAGAAAAAAAATGAACAATTTCAAAAAATAAGTAATAAAAAAAGAAGTGAAAATTTGTCACCCAAAATTTAAATGAATTTCAATTTTTGTTTTTCCCTCCAAAGACTTTCTTTCACTAAATTGTGTGCGAGTCATTTAGATTCATTTTATTTACAAATTTCTTTATTTACAATCATCATCATCATCATCATCATAATGATAAAAAATGGCTGTAATATTCACAGATGTTAATATAGTAGGGTTGCATCAAAATGAAACAAATTGGATCCCAAGTGTGAAATGAAACTGTGAAAATCAAATTTTCGTTTAATGAAAATTTGATTTTTTTCTGGAAATTGGGGAAAACGTTTTCTTTTGTTATTCTGCTATAGCCAAAATTGAATCAAATTTGAAATTATTGCCGGTAAATAGAGTGATTGGGGAAATTTCCCGAACAATCAAAAAGAAAATGAAGAATTTCTGAAAAGTTTTCTCATTTTCATATAGTTTCATTCCGGAATAACATTGACATATCATATTGATTGACTTTGAACCAGATTGCTGAATGATTTTTATTTAAAAGCAAAAGATAAGTAGGTTCTCATTTCATTCATTGACTGAAATGTAATGTATTTTTTAACTACAACAACAAAACAAAACAATATAACAGACAAACACTTACCATGATTATTATGATGAGATTCAGATTGATTATTATTATGATGATGAAATCTATATGATGAACCATATGTTGTCGAAATAGTTGATAATGATGATAATGATGATGATGGCCATAATGATAATGATCTTGTTGTTATTGTTTTAGTTGTTTTTGGTTTCTTCTGTTCGGATTGATCATCATCATCATCAACATCGTGATTATCACAATGATTGGTGTTCGTGACGAATCTGGTAACAAACATATCCATTATTTGTTGTTGTTGTTGTTGTTGTTCAACGTTTTTATGATGTTCATCATCATTATCATTATTATGAGGATGATGATGATGGTCAATAATTTTATAATAACTAGAATCATTTACACTATCGGATATTATATTGATAATAGAATTCTCATCATCATCATCATCGAAAAATTCCGAATAATTTGAATATAAAAATTGACATTTTTGTCTGCCGAAATTATGTTTTTGTATTGAATCACAGCAATGATGATGATGATGATCGATGACATTTATCGTCTGTTTTGGCATCATCATGTTATTATTATTGTTGTTGTTGTTGTTGTCATCATCATCATCGTTAATGTCCATATTGGTCATTTTTTTTCTTGTTGATGATGTGCGGTAATGTTAATGTTTTTTTATTTGTTTATAAACACAAACACACATAGAGGGAGAGAGAGAGAAGAATAAGAAGGAAAGACACATTTTCAATCATAATGATGCTTCATCCATTGATCATCGTTGGCTGGTTGGTTGGATGATGGAAAACTTTTTCTCCTTTGAATGAATTTGATAAAGCGGTTTTTTTTTCGGTCGGGATGCTGGTTCATAATAATGAAAATTTACATAAAATTAACTCGGAATGAAAAAAAACAGAATCGATTCTGTAGTCGTTGATGTCAATATAGTTGACAACGAAGACGACGAATTAATTTTCAAATGTTGTTGTTTTCTGTGATGTCAAAATAGTTGATATTTATGTTACACATTGACCACACTGGTCAACAGAACAGAACCACAGAGAGAAAAAAAATCAACAATTTTTTTTCTCAAGATACAGAATTTCATTCTTATTCTGCACTATATTTATTTCATTTTTTTCCCCACTTACTTAACACTGAGAATAACATTTACCGAGCAAAAAACGAAGCATCATACACCAAACACACACACACAGAATCGACAGAATAGACAGCTGTCGAAAATAAGGAAAAACTAAAAAAAAAAATTGATTCCAGAATTTTTTTTTTCGGATCAGAATTAAGATTATTATTTATTTTCTTTCTTTGGTTGTCGATTCTTTGAAGTCGATGATGATGATGATGATGTGGCTGGTAGCATTCAAATGAAAATGAAAACGAAAGAAAAAGAATATGAAAAGAGTTCCACACACACATGTATGACAATCATCGATATTTTTCACTAATAGAATTTCATACAGAAAAGCATGATGTTATAACCCACTTGCACCACACATGACCTGTTTATTCAGGAGAAGAAAAAAAAAGCAAAGAATTTTCTCGATAATGTTGAAAATGATGTTGTTGTTGTTCTTGTTTTTGTCGTTTAATTTAGTTTATAATGATTATGATGACATAATAAATGTGAATGAAAACTAGAAACACAGTGAAAAAGGAGAGAAAAGGAAAAAATATGAAAATGTTAAATATATTTGACATCAGAATAATTAGGATTCAATTAAAGTTAATGAATTGGATTTTTTTCCCTTTGCTTGATTTTCTAAAGGCAAACTAAAGCCAAATTAACATAAATCACATCGTTTTTTTCTCGCTAAAGTCAAAAGAATGTTTACTGTGTGTGTGTGTGTGTGTGTAAATTATGTAAACCAAGAAGAAAAAAGTTTTTATTCAAAGATTAGGAAAGAAAAAAGGAAAATCTTGAAGAAAAACATAAACCACTAACCAGGCGAAACATTGTCTAAATTCAGTACGGGAAAATAAGAAAACAAAAAATATATTCCATGTAAATTCAATGTCAATCAATGACAATGTAAAACAACAACAACAACAAAAAACAGCCAAAAGAATCTTGATAATCTCAATAAAAGAAAATCAATTCATATATGAAAAAAACGACTATATTTGGCCCCTGGAATTTTAGCTTTACTGCATTGCTTTTTTTTAAGGCTGCATTAAAATCGTTATTTTTTTCCAATTTTTGTTGTTGTTTTTTTGCTGCTGCCATTAAAGTAGCTATTAGAAATAAATAAATCTATGCTTCGGGAAATATTTTCCAGGAGAAATTAGTTCATTACAACAATTTGATGATGATGATGATAATTAGTTACAAATGGAAAACAAAAATCATAAAAATTTTATGAAAATCATACACAAATCATGTTTGACCATTTCCCGATCAATCAATAATCATTATTATCATTATCAATCAAACAAAAAAACAAGAGAAAAAACGAAAAGAAAACGAATGGGTTATCCCCATTGGAAAAAATATTGTATTTTCCCGAAAGATGAAACAACAACAACAACATTCTCGAGAAAGAAAACATAGATTGTTGTTACAGAACAAGAGCTAATGGTTGAAAAGTTTCTGATTCTGATTTTTTTTTTGATTTTTTACTACTGAGAATTGAAAAAAAAACAACAACAACAACAACAACAAGAATCATAGAATCGATTAAGCACTATGATGATGATGATGGTGATGGAAAGAATTGAAATTTATGATGCTCAAAATGTTGTTCGCTTGTTGTTGTTGTTCGATTGCTTGTTTGTTTTGTTTTGTTTGTAACGAAATGATCATCATCATCATCGTGATGTTATCGATCCATTTGGTCAGAAAAAACAGAAAAAAACTATTACATAACACAGATGTAGAATCGTTGATGATGATGATGATGAACAGAAAACATTCATCGATGATGATGATGATGATGATGATCAGTTGTTGAAAAGAAAATCTAAATTGATTTTTGACAGAAAAAAATTCTTCATCCAAAATCATCATTATCAATTTTTGTTTTTCAAAAAAAAAACAAAATTTTTAATTGAATAATTTACTTGATCTAATCAATCTATGGGTGAATCGAGTGGAAGGATAAGAAATGAGAAATTTTCCCGGGAAAAAGAATTTGGTTCGAAAAACAAGTTTTCGATACACAAATCATCAAATCATCAAATATCAGTCTTTGACAAGTTTGAAATTGATCCAGAGGAGAGGAGAAAAAAACATTGAAAAAATTGAATTACCAAAAGCCAAAAGTATCGAATATAAGAATTGTTTTGATCGAAAAAAAAGAAGACAATGAAAAACAAAACAAAAAAACGAAAAAACGAAGCAAGAATTCAGTTCAAGATCGATTGTGTGTGTGTGTGTTGTTTTGGGAAAATGCCATCGACATTGTCGATTTGTGACATCAATCAGATTGTCTTTCTTTCATTTTTCTTTTTCTTTTCTTGGTTGCTGTTGTTCGTATTTCATTTTCATCATTGTTCAATGAACTGCAATTGAAATATAGACATGGTGAATATAGATGATGATGATGATGATGAGATGAATATCGAGATTTTTCATTCACTCACTCGCTCTTTCTTTTTCTGGATAACAAATGATCATCGATGTTTTGATCAATACGGTTTTTGTTCATTCGTTTCGTTTCGTTTTTTTTTCGGTTGATGATTATAATGAATTATCGATTTTCTTCGGTTTTTTTTTGTATCGAAGGCTTGATTTTTTCTGATCGTTTTTTTTTGTTGTTGTTTTGATTCGCGACTAAATTCAAACGGAGAATGATTTTTTTCAGTCTTTTTTGTATTCTGGTGTAAATCTTACATCATCGTGACATGATGATAAGTTTTTCTTCTTTATTTTCATCAATTTTTTCTTTTTTCATTGATTTTATTCATTGATATCAACACACACACACACACAAACACGAACACAAACACCGAATCGATAATGATGATTATAATTAGATATATTTTGTGTAAGAGAAAGAATCGACAAGAATCGAGTGAGTTGAAAAAAACAATTGAAATATTCTTGATGATGATGATAATCAAGAATCAAAATTCTAGTTTTAGTTTTATTCTATCTATCTATTCGGATTGAATACTGAAACACAAATGACAATGAGAAAGAAAGTGAATGAATGATAATAATGTAAAAAAGTTTAAATTTAGCGGCTACATAACTAGAATACAAGAATCATCATCAAACATAGAATTGTGGTAGTAGTATAAATGTTCATGGTAGTGGTCAGCCGTTATGTATCCTCCCAATTCTAGAATTGATAATATTGGTAGTGGTATTATTCAAAATTATTATATAACTGCTACATTTTTGCTACATTTATTTCGAAAAAAAAGAGAATCTGCTAGCAGCACGCAGACAGTAAATGTTATAACTTGAAAAAAAAGAAGATTATTTTTTACGGTGAAAAACAAACTAACTAAACCCTCACTTTATATCAAGAATTTTGAAATAATCCCCCTAAATTCACACACATACACACCAACCCAGACAAATGCTGAATATTGAAATAATTCTCATCAAAAAAAAAAAACGCTGAAAAAAAGAAATCAATTCGCAAAAATCCAAGAAAATGATTGATTGATCAGATGTATTTTCATATTCAACAAATCGAACAAGCCTAATACCTTTTTTTTGTAATGAAATGGTCATCATCATCATTTGGATAAATAAATGTTTCGAAATGTAAATTGTCATTTTGAAGATACAATGGTGACAAAGTAAGCAACGTAAACTAAATTGGACTACACATAACAACAACAACAAAAATAATGATATCAATCATAATCCGATCGAAATATTGAAGATTTACATTTTTATTCTGTTTACATTTGTTATTGTGTAATAATGTTGTTTTTTTTGGTTCTTCAGTAAGAATATTCTATTCGGTTGTCAAAAAAATGATTTTGCAAATGTAGCCGTGATTATTATTCAGACATTGAAAAAAAGAATATTCCAAAAATAGCGTTACGAAATCCTCGATAATAACCTAATTAAATGAATAGAATAGAATAATTTTTTCATCAAGGTAATCATTATCGATTGATTGAAATATCTGAATTACTTTCATTCATTTATAGATTATTATTATTATTAGTAGTAGTAGTATTGATCAGATTGATATTCTCTCTCTCTATCTTTCAACATTAACATCCAAATAAAAACATGATATGTATGACATTTTTATTGATTTTGTTGTTGTTGTCGCTGCAACCTTATTGAAACAAGCAAACATACATACCATATGTATATGCAATAACTAATTGATTTTGTTTTGTATTTAGATTTTCATTCAGAATTTGTCAATATTGTTGGAATTTCTGGATTACAACATATACAACAATCATCAAGAATTTCAACTTGATTAAATTCGTATCGTTTTTTGCTTTGTTTTAAATACCAAAAATAGATGAATGAATGGAATCTTTTTCTGAGTGAAAGTGAGAGTAAGAGAGATGGAAAAAAAGATGTTGAAAAAATGTTTCTCCCTCTCTCAATGTTTCGATCGATTTGATTTCGACGATGACGAAATGAAAGAAAATGAAAAAATTCAACCATCCGAAATGTTATGAAAGACGGAAATCAATAATAATAACAAAAATTCTTAATTCCGTAGCCAACGGGTTAGAATGATTTCCCCATCTA